TAATTAACATGATCGCGACACATGGCGATTATATATTTAAGATTATGACATGTGTTATATAACAATTTTTCTTTTAAAAACTTAAAGCAAAAGAATAAATAGTTAATTTTACTTTTTTAAAAAAACTTAAACATAAACTTTGAAAAAATAGTTTCCCTTTTTTAAACAATCTTAAACAAAAACTGTAAAAATTATATTTCTATATAAATAATATTTAAGAATAATATATTTTAAAAGTTACTAATGATTATGAAGCATGGAAATTATAATAAACTTAATATAAAAAAATCTAAAAAGTTAAACCAAAAGAATATAAAAAAAATCTAAAAAGTTAACTTTTTAAAAAAAAAATCTTATACAAAAAACGTTTTTTTAATATTTCCATATAAATAAAAATTAACAATGGTATTTCTTTTATAAAACATGGGTTTAAGATAATTACAAGCTTGGTTTTTCAAAGTTGCTAATTACTATGACTGCGAAACATGGCAATTATATATTTGAGATTATAATATGTGTTAAATAACAGTTATTCTTTTAAAACAAAAACTGAAATCAAGAAAATATAAAAAATAATCTAAAAATATAATTTTCATTTTAAAAATTCTTAAACAAAGAATGTTTTTAATATTTCCATATAAATAAAATTTTAACAATAGCATTTATTTTTTTTAAACATGGTCTAAGATAATTAACACTTAAACATTATTTTAAGATAAATTCTTATATAAATTAAAATATTTACAAAATATTTTTCTTATAAATATTTAATAGTATTTTTCCTGTTAAAAATATTAAACCATAGAGAATTTTAATATTTTAGATGTATATATCCAAACCTGAATACATTTAAAAAGGTAGAAGTGTTGGATATAGAAATTTCTATTTTTTAATATTTGCATATAAATAAAATTTTAACAATATTTGCATATAATTAATTAAATTTCTTACAAATGTAATTTCAAGTTAATAAGAAAGTTTCGAGAGAAAAAAACAATAGTATTTCTTTTTTAAAACATAGGCTTAAGGTAATTACAAACTTAGTTTTTTAAAGTTGCTAATTAACATGATCTTGATACATTACAATTATATATTTAAGATCATGGCATGTATTAAATAACAGTTTTTCTTTAAAAAAAAACATAAACCAAAAGAATATGTAAACAATCTAAAAAGTTGTTTTCCTTTTTGTAAAACCAGAAGAGAATTTTTATTATATTTATTTTTAAATCTGGACAAAATATAATTACATAATTTAATTAATTAATATTTTTTTTTTGTTTTTAAGAAGTTGATGATAAACAAAATACTAAAGTCAGTTTAACTAACAAAAATAAATTGTAAAATATGTAGAGATATTAAAATGAATTGGAAAAATTACACTTTTAAAAAACTATTTGATATTTACTGAAATAATTATTTACTAATAATTTATTTTAAATCCTAATCAAAATATAATTTTAAATATTGTGTATAGTATTTTCCTTTTCTCAAATCATAAGAAGAAACCATAAGAAGTTTTGTTTTTTTTTGTAATAATAATTTTTCTTTTGTAAATTTTAAACAAAAGATATTTCTATTATATTTTTGGCACATGTCATTATATAAAGATTTATTTTAGAAGTTGCTAATTAGCATGATCGAAGATATATGGCGAATTATATATTTAAGATTATGTCATTTTTTAAATAATAGTTTAAAAAAAAAACTTAAAACAAAAATCTTTCTTATTGTATAAAGCTTATTTTTTAAATTTTTTAATTAACACGATCACAACACATGACAACTATATATTTAAGATTGACATGTTAAATAACAGTCTTTTTAAAGAAAAACTTTGACTAAAATAATGTGAAAGTTAATTTTCCTTTTTAAAAAAAAAAAAAGCTTAAGTAAAAAACTGTAAAACATTAAATTTCCATATAAATAATTAATATTTAATAATATATCTTTTTATTATGTGGGTTTAAGATAGTTATAAAATACTAAACATTATTTGAATATAAATTTGATCACATTTGTAAAATATTTACCAAATATTTCTCTAAAGTATTTAATAGTATTTTCTGTTAAAAATATATTAAATTTAGAAAATTGAAAAATAATCAATTTACTATTTAATTTTACTTTTAAATATATTAAACAGAAACTTTAAAAAAGTTTGTTTTCCTTTTTTACAAAGTCTTTAAAACTGTAAAAATTATATTTCCATAAATAATTATTTAATAATAGTATTTTTTTAAACTTGGGTTTAAAATAATAAATACACAAAATTATCTAGTACGATTTTCATAAAAATTAAAATATTAGAAACATACTTTTATTATAAATATTTAATATTATTTTTTCTGTCTTAAAATACTAAATATATAAATTGTTAAAATACTTCTTATAATTTTATTTTAATTGTAATATTCCTTTGTTAGATTCTTATTTGCAAGGTTAAATAAAAAATGATTTTATTATAATTACAAAATCTATCATTTTATTTTTAATGGTAATAGTCCTTTTTAACGAACCTTATTTTCAAGTTCAAATAAAATATATGGATTGAAAATAATTACAAAATCAGTAGGCATTTGTTTAAGATCAATAATTTCTTTAAATAACTACATATTTGATTTTTCTTGTAAATATCTAATAGGGATTTTTCTTATAAACATGAAATTCTCAATACGTGGTAATTTTAGAAAAATAAGCGACATTTTAAAAATTAATAATATATGAATGTTGTATTTTCCTTATTTTATATTATTTCAATATAAATAGATGTCCATTATTAAAAATATTATATATATACTTATAATTATGTAAGTAATTTGTTTTTATGCAAAAAAGTATAATTTAGGTTAGATACATAACTATAAATATGAATCAAAAGTGAAAAGAGTATAACGAAAAATGAGAATCAAAAATATATCTATATTGAAATTTGTATATTAGAAATGAAATTACAATAACTTCTTAATGATTGTGATTTCAGCTCTATTACAACATACACTAATACAATTTTTTAATTATTATTTATCATAGCTTTAGTCGTCATAAAACTTTAGTTAGTAAGTTCTATTCATGAATAGTTAATAAGACAGTAAAAATTCAAAAACATGATCTTCACAACATACATGTTTGTGGCTACAATAATTATAGTAGTATTGAAATGCATGATGTATCAATAGTTTCATTACATAAAGATTACATGATAAAAATGTTGATCCAATGTCTTCCCTTAGTTAAACAAATAAGATAATTTCCAATTCACCTATAGGTTCATTAGTATATTTCTTTTGAAATAGTGAAATAGTATTATACAAGTAGATTTGCTTCATTGTATGATTTTGTAATAGATTTTTTTTTTAATAGAAATATAGAGTAAAGCTATTATATCTCTAAATATAGAGATGTAATTTTATTTACTACATTTTCTTTTAAGGTAGATAAATTCTATAAAGTGCATATATTGTCACCGATTCGATTGCATTGGTTCAACTTTCTAATTTATTGTATTTTACTCTAATTCATATTTTTCTATGGTTAGATTCAATTTATCTTTTTGTGGTTTGGATTTTTTCTCAACCCCTAAATTCAAAATTGCCAATAACTGTTTATGCACTATTATTACTGAAACAAAGTCGACAAAAAACTATTATTGAAACATAAATACTAACCAAAACTTATGTAGAAAAACAATTTTTATTCCTAAAATAAGTTTCATGCAATATATGTAAAAATCCAACGATTGCAAATTTTGTTTCTTCTCATTTTTTCTGTTTTTCATAAAATTAAAACATCAATTAAAATTCGTGTAACGCACGGGTCGATACCTAGCTTTTGATAAATTATGGATCCCAGCAGTTTTCTTTGTTTCAATTGTATGGGGTCAAATCGGCTCTGCATAAGAATAGGATTGTCATTAGTCTTCCAAATTCAATGTACTAAGTAAAAAAAAGTCTTCACAACTCAAAACTATTATTGATATATTTTTCTCAATCTACAGTCATTGTATAATTTTTTTTTTGTACAATTTGACAACATATATCAATACCATTAAAACAGAAACATTCTGTTTAATGAATTTTTTTTATGTTTTCCAATTATACACTTAATGATATGAACAAATTTTTATTTTCATTAATGGCAATATGGTCTTTTGTTTTTTGGGTCTAAAAATTATATACTAATGGGTTTTATTAGTGGGTTGATTCTTTTCCAAATTTTATAAAAAAAAATTGCAAAAATATATTTTATTTGCGGGTCAGACGGGGCGGGTCGGACTGAGTGATTGCAATTTTGTAACTAAATGATTTTACGAATTAATCACAAAACTTAAAAAATTGGACCATTTAATTGTTAAATATACAATCTTGCTCAAGTACACATTTTAGGTACAACCATTATTAACTTATTTAGAGACATAAAAAAATTGTCTGAGACATTATAAAACATCAAAGCAAAAAACTTATCGATTTATCTGTAGATAAAATAACAAAAATATTATCCGTGCTTTTTAAGCGCGGATCAAAAATTTAGTAATGATGTTAACTGGAAATTTGGAGAAATATTGTCTTGGTTCAATTTGAACCATCCAACCAACAATCTTTTAGCACAAAAGAACTGAGCTATGCTACAATTTCAAAAGAAACAAAAAGCGAAAAGAAGCTAAACTTGCATGACTCAATATAAATTTATAATCTTCCTTCACACTAAACTTACACCATACTCCTACTTAAATAAGTCGATGCAAGTTCCACACAATGCCCACTCAAATCAGAATCTGATCACCACTAACGCATTGCGAACCAAACACAGCAAGTAATGTCTGTTGTTGCTTTCTTTCTCTTCACCCTCATTTACTTTTCTAGTAAGTCATCTTCTTCATCGATAAATCACATATATGTTTACATTTTTTCCTTTGTTTCCTCCCCCACAATGAACATAACTTTGTTGGTTTTACAGGTTCACGTTGCTCGGCGACTGGGTTCCAGCATCAACACAGGTACATGGAGAGGAAACTAATGATAGCGTTGGCAAGCAAGATTGGTATCAACTATGGTAGAAAAGGAAACGACCTCCCATCTCCTTACCAATCAATCAATTTTATCAAATCCATCAAAGCTGGTCACGTCAAGCTCTATGATGCCGATCCTGAGACTCTAACACTCCTCTCTCATACCAATCTTTACGTCACCATAACCATCCATAACCACCAGATCACTTCCCTCGGCACCAACCAAACCACAGCTGAAGATTGGGTCAAAACAAATATCCTCCCTTACTATCCACAAACCCAAATCCGATTTGTCCTTGTCGGAAATGAAATCCTCTCCGTCCAAGACAGGAATATAACGGCCAATCTCGTACCAGCGATGCGCAAAATCGTGAATGCTCTCAGAGCTCATGGCATTCACAACATCAAAGTCGGGACATCTTTACCTATGGATTCTCTCCGGTCGACGTTTCCACCGTCGAACTCAACGTTTCGGGAAGATATCGCCGGACCGTTGATGTTGCCGTTGCTGAAGTTTCTCAACGGAACAAACTCTTACTTCTTCATCAATCTTCAACCTTACTACCGTTGGTTAAGAAACCCTATGAATACCACTTTGGATTTTGCTCTCTTCCAAGGGAATTCAACTTATACCGATCCTCGTACCGGTTTGGTTTACCATAATCTCGTAGACCAGATGTTAGATTCGGTTATCTTCGCCATGACCAAACTCGGTTACCCACACATCCGCATTGCGATCTCCGAAACCGGGTGGCCTAATTCCGGGGACATCGATGAAACCGGAGCCAACATACTCAATGCAGCAACATACAACAGGAATATGATCAAGAAGATGACCGCAATTCCATCAATCGGTACACCAGCTAGACCCGGTTTACCCATACCGACATTTGTTTTCTCATTGTTCAACGAAGACCAGAAATCCGGTTCGGGAACACAGAGGCATTGGGGAATCTTGCATCCTGACGGTACACCAATCTACGACATTGATTTCACCGCTCAAAAACCCTCAACCAGTTTTAATCCTTTGCCTAAACCGACGAACAATGTTCCTTACAAGGGTCAAGTGTGGTGCGTACCGGTCGAAGGAGCCAACGAGGCTGCGCTTGAGGAAGCTTTGAGGATGGCTTGTGGCCGAAGCAACACAACGTGTGCGGCTTTGGCTCCTGGGAAAGAATGTTACGATCCAGTCTCTATTTATTGGCACGCAAGATATGCGGTTAGCTCCTACTGGGCTCAGTTCCGTACCCAAAACGTCGGATGTTTTTTTAATGGACTGGCTCATGAGACTACGACTAACCCTGGTGAGTCATTTGTGCTTCTTCCTAAATTGGACAAGAATAGCTCTTCGTATTGTCTGGACGTTTCATGTGGCAGAGTAATGAAATATATTGTAACTAATAAAAGCGTTTTTACAGGAAATGATCGCTGCAAGTTTCCGAGCGTTACTCTCTGAGGAAGAACAACTGAAAGAGATTTAAGATGAGTAAAATTTTACTCAATATTGTTTTTCACTATGCATTTTATGTTTCTTGTTTTCTCGATGTTCAAAAAACTTGAATAACTAATAAATAATGTTTTTGTAACAAAAACCGAAGACTACATTGTCCGTCAGTTTTGGGGTCAAACAGTTGGTCTCACTTCACGAAAAAGGATATTGTTTAAAGAAGATAATAATAAAATGGAGAAAGGGCTGGAATACTGTGGACCCTAAAATTCACACTATATGTATTTGGTAATGGTTGTAATAGATTATAGAGATGAACTTTGTGGTTAACAATATCTTCAAAACACAATGATGTAATTAGAATTAAGTAAACAAAAATAGATTTCTATAAACTGATGTTAAAAAGGGTTTACAAAGGATATGGATTACACTAGAACTTACGCTTAACTAAGAACAACGTCGAGATCGATGTGGTTAAGCGAAGAGTTCGATGTTGATGGTGAATGTGTATGATAGCGTCTCTCTCTCTCTCCAAGGGTCACACCCACATCGTTATCTATGGCGATCATTGTTTCTGGCAATATGCAGCTTGGAGCTTCTATAACTACATTTGAGAGTGGCCAATTAAAATTAGTTGTGTGTTGACATGTAATTTTTCTCTATTTTTACTAAGTTTTTGTAAAATACTTTTTAATCTTCTTTTTTAACATTATCTATATAGTTAATTACTATTCCCTCCGTTTCATATTAAGTATCGTTGTAGAGTTTTTTGCGTTATAAAATAAGTGTCGTTTTTGATTTTCAATGTAAAATTTATTAATTTTAGGTGTAATTTTTTTTTCTATTGATTAAATATGGTTAGGTGTATAGGTAATTGTGTTTTTATATAGGAAATATGTAAAATTAATTGTTTCCTTAATCCGTGTGCACAGCTGTAAAGTGACACTTATAATGAAACAGAGGAAGTATGTCCACTACAAGAAAACACCGTATATTCCGACGGAGGTTCCGACGGACGTAAAAGTCGTCGGACATTTTTGACGGCATTCCGACGACATTCCGACAAAATAAAAAAATACACGTTCGTCGGAATTTCGTCGGACCAAACCGACGACTTTCTGACCAAAATAGGTACGTCGGAATATAGTGACAAACTTCCGACGACATTCCGATAACTTATATAACCGTTGGAGTCGTCAGAATTTCGTCGGAATATACCAACGAATTTCCGACAACCTTCCGATTAATTATATAACCGTTGTGTTCGTCGGAATGTCATCTGTATATTCCGACGAAATTCCGACAAAATTTTGACGTTCTTTTTGACCGTTGCCGACAAAGGCATATGACCGTTTACATCCGTTAAGGTAAGACAATACCGACAACCGTTATGGCGTCAGAATTCCGTCGGAATGTCGTCGGAATGCCGTTAGGAATATCCTATAAATGCAACCTCTCCTCATTCAACTCATTCACTCCTCACTCTCTCATTACTCTCTCTTTACTCTCTCTTTACTCTCTCTAAGCACAACAATTTCTTGAAAATCATGTCTTCAGAAGTTTATTATCGTTTGTGGATGGATAAACCTCATATGGATCCCAATACTAATTTACTTACGAAAGAATACGTTCAAGGGATTGGGAGAATTCATGAAGCTTGTTCAACAGCAACCGGATGCAAAAACCGGTATGTTAAGATGTCCCTGCTCTACTTGCAATAATAATAGGATTATAAAAGAATTTGATGTTTGGACTCATTTGTATATGAGGGGGTTTTCATGTAATTATAAAGTTTGGTATCTTCATGGGAAAACTAGTTTTGAATATGGTAGTACTAGCGAACCTCAGCCTGTTAGCAAACCTCATCCTGATATTAGGTTAGAAGAACCTAGAACGGATATAGATTATGATGTAGGTACTATGCAAATGGTACATGATCATTATAGAGGGGAAGAAGAACCAAATCCCGAATCTAGGAGATTTTTTGACATGTTGGATGCAGGAAAACAACCTTTGTATAAAGGTTGTAGAGATGGTCATTCACCCTTATCTTCTGCAACTAGATTGATGGGTATAAAGACAAACTATAATTTGGCTGAAGAATGTGTGGATGCGATTACTGATTTTGTCAAAGGTATTCTACCTGAGGATAATGTTGCACCAGGTTCATACTACGAGGTTCAGAAACTTGTTGCGGGTCTTCAACTACCGTACGAAGTGGTAGATGTATGTATTGACAACTGCATGATCTACTGGGGAGCGGATAAGGAACGTGATAAATGCAAATTTTGTAGGAAACCTCGTTATCAGGAGACGAGGGGAAGAGTTCCGATCCCTTTCAAAAGGTGTTTGCCTTTAACGGAAAGATTGAAGAGGTTGTATCAGTGTGAGCGCACAGCAAAAGCAATGAGATGGCATGCAGAGCATTCCACAAATGGTGAGATTAGACATCTTTCAGATGCAAAGGCTTGGAAACATTTCCAGTCAACGTATCCAGAATTTGCGGAAGAGAGAAGAAATGTTTATCTTGGATTATGTGCTGATGGTTTCAGCCCATTTGGAAAGAATGGAAAACAATATTCTCTATGGCCAGTTATTGTGACACCGTACAACTTACCGCCAATCTTGTGCATGCAACGAGAGTTTTTGTTCCTCTCAATTCTCGTCCCCGGGCCAGAGCATCCTAAGAGATCACTAGATGTGTTTCTCCAACCACTGATTCATGAGTTGCAACAACTATGGGCGCATGATTTTGAGACATACGCTATTTCGTGCAAAGAAAACTTTTATATGCGGGCAGTACTTATGTGGACAATAAGTGACTTTCTAGCATACGGTATGTTATCCGGATGGACAACACATGGGAGGCTATCATGTCCACATTGTAAAGATGACACAAATGCTTTCCAACTAAAGCGCGGAAGGAAAACGTGTTGGTTTGACTGTCACAGAAGATTTCTACCACTTTATCATCCATACCGTAGGAGTAAGACTTTATTTACGAAGAACAAGCAGGTGTTTGATGGTCCACCTGAGGAAGTTAGTGGGGAAGATTTGTGGAAGCAGTTGAGGGAATTTGGTGCAGATAGGACGGCAGACGTAGGTGGACATGAAAACATTCGAGTCGATGCGGTTGGAGAGCTACATAACTGGCACAAAAAAGTATTTTCTCGGATCTGCCATATTGGAAGGATCATCTATTGCGGCATAATTTAGATGTCATGCATATCGAGAAGAATTTTTTCGACAATCTGATGAACACAATCCTTAACATCCAAGGTAAAACGAAGGATAATTTGAAGTCAAGGTTGGATTTAGTCGATATCTGTGATCGTTCTGAACTTCACGTTGATGAGAACGGTACGGCCCCATTTCCCATTTATCGGCTGGATGGTGTTGCAAAAGAAGAATTCTTTGATTGGATTACAGATAGAGTGCAATTTCCAGACGGTTATGCATCAAATTTGAGGAACTGCGTTGATAGAAGCGAAGGAAAGTTTACTGGCTTGAAGAATCATGATTGTCATGTAATTATGCAGCGTCTCATTCCGTTTGCTTTTTTCCGCACTATTGCCACGTAATGTTCATGAAGCAATTGCAGGTATCTTATATTTTACATTTTAATTGATTTTTATATTTAACATTAATTATGCTTATATAAACGTAATACGTAAGAAAATTTTGTCTTTTATCTATGCATGGATAAGTGGTTTTTTTCCGGGATTTATGCACCAGAGCAGTGACTGAAGAGGGTATTAGTAATTTGAAGGCAAACATACCAGTCATCATATGTAACCTCGAGAAGATATTTCCTCCAACATTCTTTGATGTAATGGAACATCTTGTTATTCATCTCGCAAGATAATTGGAACTTGGTGGTCATGTGCAGTACCGATGGATGTATGTTTTCGAGCGTTATATGCATCATCTGAAGAAGATGGTCAAAAATAACAGCAGGATGGAAGGATCTATAGTCGCGTAGGTGATCAATGAAGAAAATGCAATCTTCGCTGAAAACTATTTTCCATCAGAAGTGCATACAAAAAACCGAAGACCTGCTCGGCATGATGACAGAGGGGAGAGAGCAACATATCATGTTACTGTCCCAAGCATGTTCAGAGAAATATGACGACTAAGTGGAAAGCCCACGAAGCGGAGATTTGCGCTCATTTACAAACATATTTGTTCACCAATTGTGAAGATGTTCTACAATATGAGAGGTAAAAATAGTTATTCATTTAAATTGTTAGATTAATATTCAATAATTTTATTTCATATTGATAATATCTTTTATATAGTGTTTATATGGCAGAGTTGCGTATAACTCACAGGCATACGACAGAAGATGAACTTCAACAACTTAGACATAATGGATTTGCTACATGGCTTCTTAGATATGTGAGTCATATATCATATTACCCTATGCATATGATTAATTTATATATAATTTAAAGTAACTAACTTTTCCCTCATATATGTTTTTAATTTATAGGTGAATGATGGTTTGGCCAGAGGTTTTGAGTTCGATGATTGGATACGTGAATTGTGCAGGGACCAAACTATATAGTTAAATCATATCCAAAATATTGTACGCGAGGATATGCATTCACAAGGAAAGGTCATTCTAAGACAACATATGATGCTGGTGTTTCGTCTTCTTCCGGTGACGATGTCTACTACGGCAACATAGAAGAAATGTTGGAAATCCAGTTTCCTGGTATGGTTGGATTGCGGTGTGTAGTATTCTATTGTGAGTGGTATGACACCACCCCAGATAGAGGAGTGAAGACTGATGAGTTTAGTGTTACATCGGTTCATTCACGAAGGAAACTTCAATATTATGATCCCTTCATTCTTGCTTCGCAAGCTAATCAGGTATATATATATATATATATATATATATATATCAATTTCTTCATAATTAGTGGTTTATATTTTACTAATATAACTTGTATAATTGATAGGTGGGCTACATCAGTTACCCTCGGGTGACATACAGAGACGATCCATGGGTCACTGTAACGCAAATCAACCCAAGAGGACGAGTGGATGGAGAAAATGAACCATTACAACCAGACTCTACCAGTAACGTGACTGCAGTTGAAGATTTGACAGATGTTGAACTCGTTGAGAATTTTAACGAGTTTGGACTTTATGTTGTTGTACATTCAGAGGACGAAGCTGAGGGTGGAGAGTTTGATGAAGATTCTGATTAGGAATAATTATTATTTGACTTGTATTTATTAGTTGTTGTACATCCTACATAAGGTTTTTTTTTTTAATAACAGAGTCGTCGGTATTCCGTCACTATATACCGACGACATAGTGACGAAATGTGGTTTTATTCAAAAAAAAACAACGGTCCTCAGAAAATACCGACGAAATTCTGATGAACTTCATAGGTTCGTCGGAATGTCGTCGGTATTTTCCGACGACTTTCTGAGGACCTTTGTTTTTTTGAATGATCATATTAAAAAAATATTAATTTGGAAACCGAAACTATGAAAATAACACATAATGAGTGTTTAGTATATAACAGCTCGGTAAAGTATTTATGTATCTATATGATTGTTTTCATAACATCTCATCTTAACAATCATGTACTTATACAATCATATTCATATAATCTTACACTACAAAAATGTTTTTGTGTAAAATCGTGTTTTGAACTTATTTATATTGTTAAATGTTTATGCAAATACTATACTCATTTGGAAATATTAGGATCTTGCATTTAGAAACTTGTTTTAAACCCCTAAACACTATGTCGTCGGAATTCCGTCGGTATATAGTGACGGAATTCCGATGAATTCATATTACCCAGGAAACCAAATCGCGTGAAAATTTACGCAAACCGCCTATCGGTTTAAATTTAATGATTCCATCGGTATATAATGACGGAATTCCGACGAACTCGGCTCCGTCAGAATCAATAAAAACTCTACCTTCTTCCTTCTCGACATTTTCGCCTCACTCTCTTCTTCCCGATTTCTCTTGGCGATTCCGGCGATTCTCCGGTTCTGTTCTCCTCTCTTCTATGGCTCTCTTCTCCTCTCTTCTCCGGCTCTCTTCTCCTCTCTTCTCCAGCTCTCTTCTTCGGCGACTCCTCTCCACCACCTCACATCTCTCCCCATGTAAGATTCCAGAAAAACCCTTTGTATATTTCAATTTTTTTTGGTCTAGGATGTTAGATCTTAGGATTTGAGGTTATTTGATTGAAAACTCTAGGATTGAATGGATAGTTTAGGATATATTAGTTAGGATTGTTGTTTTAATTTTTTGAAAAACGTTTTCAAATTTTTAAAAACATTTTTTTTTTTTTTTAAAAACGTTTTTGTGATTTCCAGTAATATATTATATATAATAAAACGTTTTCTAATTTATATATATATTTAACAACTTTTTCTATATTTAATAAACGTTTTATAAAACGTTTTCTAATTTTTAAAAACGTTTTTTTTTAAAAACGTTTTTGGGATTTCCAGTATTATATTATATATAATAAAACGTTTTGTAATTTTTATATATATTTAAAAAAAATTTATATATTTAATAAACGTTTTATAAAACGTTTTCTAATTTTTAAACACGGTTTTTTATTTTTAAAAACGTTTTTGGGATTTCCAGTAATATATTATATATAATAAAATGTTTTTGTAATTTTTATATATATTTAACAACTTTTTCTATATTTAATTATTTTTAAAACGTTTTGTAATTTTTAAAAACGTTTTTGGGATTTCCAGTAAATTTTTTTTTGTAATTTATATATATATTTAACAACTTTTAAAAAAAATATTTGAAAAGAATTCTGATGTATTGTAATTTTTTTTTAGGTCCGAGGATGCACCCTCCCGTCCCACATTGCCCCGTCGTCCCCCATACAGTGGCGGCCGAGGTAGTTCTGTGAGCAGTTCCCGTGCATCGGGATCGTCTCACGAACAAAACTCGGTTCCCGGATATGCTCCCCCTCCGTATGTTCCCCCTCCAGTTGTTGAGCAGGATCCGGGGGTCATGTCAGTTGAACAATTGGTTCAACAACCAGGTCGAGAGTATCTTCAAGTTCTTCATCCCAACCCACAGCCGGGACGTACGACTTGGTCAGTATTTTTATTTTATTTGTAGAATTATGTTTTTTACATTAATAACTTTCTAACATGCATTTCTTTAAAGGTTCACCAAGTCGAACAATGGCATTAGCAAGAGCATCAACAATATGATGTATTCCATGCTTCGTACCGGATATCCGAAGTGGAGTGTGATCCCTCACGAGACCGGGAGTTGTGGTTTCGTCAGTTTGCGGTAATTCTTCAATTTTCTTAAAGCATTTTCAATTATTTTTATATATATCTTCTTATAAAATTATCTGTGTTTTGTAGCAAGAGTTCACTTGGGAGTCTGGTCTCACGGAAACAGTCCGTCAGAGATTCAACGAAAAGGCCATGGACTCTTATACGAAGCAGATCAACGCGTGGAAGACAGTATGGCAGAAGAACAAGAAGCTCCGGTTCATCAACGGGACGGTATGGGAGCAGTTGATAGTCCATTGGGGGAAGGATGAGACTGCAACGACATCTCGCAAGAACTCCAAGAACTGGAAGAGCAATCGTGGCGGGCAAGGTATGTATGTTCACAACCTCGGCGCTTGCTCTTTGTCTTCCAAGGAAGATCAACTTGTAAATTCTATTCCTTTTATTTAACTTTTTAATTTTAAATAAATATTTTTATATTATTCCTTGGCTAATGGTTGTTTTTTAGATTGATGCAAATGACGATAATCCCGTTGATCGTCTCACTCTCATTAAGGAGGCTCACACTAACAAGAAGACGGGTCAAGTTCAAGACCCCGTGATCAGATCTGTCGTTGAGTTGGTGGAAACTCAAAAAGAAGCTCTTCTAGCTTCTCAACCTCTCTCTCTGATGACGGCGATTCTACGGGAGCTTCAACCAACATGTTCTGGTTGCAAATTAGTGATATGGTTGAAAAGGTAATTTTAATTAATATATTTATTTTATAATGTAGTTTACTTACTAACTTTAAATATTTTTGTAGGCGGTTCCTAAAAGGAAAGGAGGTCGTTTAGTTGGGTTGGCTCGTCGTTCTTCTTCGTGTCCGGGGTCTTCTTCGCAACCTTCGTATAGCGATCCCATGATTCTGGAGCAGCTACAGAACAAAGATAAACGAATTATGGCATTGAAGGAGCAGAACAACACTATCATTGCTGAGCTGGAATCCCAAAAGAAGACCAATGCTCAAATAATGGAAAAGGTAGAACGTTTGTTTCCTTCTAAGTTTTAAGACTTTATGAATGTTTTTTTTTCTAGTTACGTTTGTATGATTAAATTCTATAATACTATTATTTTTAAATTTCATATTTTGTTTATTTAAATTAATTTTAAATATAAAAAATATTTAAAATTAAAATAAAAATTAAAATAAAAATGGTATATTCCGACGACATTTGTTCGTCAGAATATACCGACGAACTAATATATATATTAGTTCGGGTTATTTGTGTCTTCACCCATATATATATATTTCGTTGTACGTAGCCTCCCACTTCTTTTCTACAAGCAATGGAAGAGTATGTGAAAGAAGCACCATTAGCAGCAGGTGCCAAGAAGGAACAGGTAGTACGAGAGTGTGTTTCGTTGTTAGTTTCTTGGTCTTTGACCCATGAAGCTGGTTATTAACGCTTCTAACGAACGATATTGGCAGGTACTGGAGAAACTTACTGCCCCCAAAGAGATCTTAGCCATAGAGTACGAAAAGCCACCAAAAGTTGTTGAAGAGAAACCGGAATCACCTGAAGCACCGGTTAAAGCAGAAGCAGAAGTAGAGAATTGGCACTTGTGACTGCTCCAAGCTCAAATGAAGTGGCTGCTGCAAATAGCAAATTGGTAATTTCCTCTCTCTCTCTCTCTCTCCGTCTTATATATTCAGTTTTGAAAAGTTGACATTTGATTTCTTCCTGTATCAAAGGCGGGTGGATTGGACAAGCTGACACTTGACAGCCTATACGAGGATGCAATTAGAGTGAGTCAACAGCAAAACAGGAGCCACAATCCATGGGAACAGCATCCAGTTCATAACGGTCCCATGATGCACCAGCCTTTCTTTGCATCTAATGGACTCCCAGCTCCTCCTCCTCTTCAAATGGCGAATCATTATCATCAGCCGTATGGGTTTCAGCATCAGAACTCAGGAATGATGATGGGACCTGTGCAGCCTTATCAGCAGCAACAACAACAGAACATGAATAATCCCTTCGGCAACCCGTTTGTCTCGAATAGTAATCCACACCAACCGTATGGCTCTGTTCAAGGAGGTTACAATCCATATCCCACCCTTATGTAAGATGTGATGCTAATTAATGTTTGTGTACAATCTATATATACAAGTATATGCTGTGAGGTGATTTTAGCTAGAGAGATTCTTTTCTTCTGTTGAGTAAATTAGTACATTACGTCTCTGTGTGTGCGTGTGTATGTCATGTATCTGTAAGCGAGAGAATATTTGATTCTTGAGGACACCATATGGTTTTGAATATATCATCACAGAATGTTGTAAAAGATTAAATTCTTGAGGACACGATTTGGTTGTGAAAATATTATCACAAAATGTTGTAAGAAAATAGGCGTGAGTTTAACCCCCAGCTTGGAATTAGGCGTGGGTTTAATGTATATTATGGTGCTGTAGGTTTGCTCAGTCAACTGATCCATCTAGGTGAAGGTGAATTGTTCGTTTAGTGAGGGTACATCCAGATAGATCACCCGGATGAGTTTCAAAAGCTCAGCTTAATTTTTTCAAAAAAGCTAGCTGAGCCTTCACCGTGCATCTAGATGCATCTGTCAAAAAATGGCAAATAACAAAAATAGTCCTAACTAAACTTTAAAATTACACACAATCACCTAACCCTAGATCTGCCCCTCTCGTGTCTCTTTTCTCCAACAGGTCTCTCTCCCAGGCGGCTCTCTGTCTCTCTAACATGTCTCTCTCGGACGGCTCTCTTAGGCAGTTGTTGTTGCTCCTTCATTGGGCATTCTGACTTGATATTTCCAAAGGCTTTACACTCATTTCACATTAGATATTTGTGTTTTGTTAGAGGATAATCGGACTTATAATTTCCAAACCCATCACACTACAAGAAAACATAAACATTACAATTGTGTTATTTGTTGTTAATTCATCGTAATAAGAGTATTACGACAAATCAACATTGATTCACGTTTCGTAATAAAACACCCGTCATAATGGAAGATTCATTTTAACTTCCTCGTAAACATTAAGGCGAAATGCCTTCATCCTAAAAGAGAAGCAGAAAGATTCGTCGTAACTTTGTTGTATTACGAAAATGCGGGGTCCCGTAAAATTTCGTAAAATGACAACGCGGTATCTGGTAATTCTTTGTAAACTTCCTTGTAAAGTCAATGTCAATTGCTTGTACATGTTACCAAGGATTTCATGGAAGTCTTTGTAAAATTCTCGCAATATGTTATGAGTATTTAACTAGTACTTCCTTGTAGGGGGTGGGACGTATCGGATATTCCGGATATCCGTAAAATTTATATCTGGATCCGTATTTAAGTCTGATTGACGTTTCTACTCATGTTTTGTTGTGTTTAAGTGTCAGTTATGTTGTTTTATTGAGTCAAAACAGAGTCAATTGCGAATGATGAACTTTTTCTTGGAACCAACTACCTATCACCTCTCTAGCACTATTCCTTGACTTAGTGGCTGCAGAGTCTACTGAATGGAAACACCAAAGTCAATCGACATGCCAATAACATCTATGCTTGCTGAGAATGTGTGAACAAACCGAAGCTGACTTCCAACCTTAATATATGCAATCGCTTGTTTTGGGGCTTGATATACATTGGATCGGATTCCTCTTACAGGTGTGTAAGGTAAAATTCTATGTGTTTCCGATTCCCCTCTTTCTTTTCTTTAGAGAAAAAAAAGAAAGAAAAGAAAAGAAAAGACAACAAAAATATTTCAGAAAAAGAGATAAGGTCAAAAAGAAGTGAGCATGAACTGGAGCAACCACCATTAGTACTTGATTCATGAAAGCTTGTCCAAAAGTCTCAGTCAATTAAAAAAATAAAATGATATCTTTCAAAGAAGGGAGACATTGACTAAGAGAAGTGAGAAGGAAGACAAGAACATAAACAGAGAATACTACTTGTGTGAGTAAGAGTCCATGTGTTTAGTGATCAATACTCTCAAGCTAAAACTTACACATTTATTTCAGAAATGAGGTTAGTAGAGGGGTATGTATTATCTGTTAAGTTGAAAGGTGTATGGTCAGGTTGCTAAGCTAAGGCTTACTACATGGAAATGCCTCTAAAGTTGGCATTGATTTGATGTGGCTTGCAATATTGCACATGTGATTGTAGTGTTCTAAAAAAAAGGAATCCCTGTGTGTTCAAACATCTTCCCCATGTACATTCAATATTTTGCTTAGGGAAAGCAAATGATAAGTCTATGAGAATTGATATACTATGGATTTACCGTTAGCTATAGTATAAGTCATATTTAGAATTTTTATATTATGTTTCAATTCTATTTAGTGCTTTTCATGCCTAGGTACGTATTTGGACTAATGTGGAGATCATGGGGCCATTTGGAGCTTAAAGATGAAGAAGCATGTAGCTGTGCAGGAAAACAAAAGTCATAGCCGAGATTTTGAAAGAATGTCGGTTGACACCTCTTTGATACCACTCGACACTGATGCGAGTACATGGGCTGACTCTATTTCCAGAGTCAAGTTTGGCCCATAACTTTTTACATACTACAAGATTCTCTTGGCCGACTTTTAGACCATTTTTTTAAACAAAAAGTAAACAACTTTTAGACCTATATTTATACTTTTTTACAGGCATTGTTTAGGCATAAACTTTTTACTATTCTTAGAGTTTCCAGAGAAAAAATCAGAAGACTCTTTCATAGATTTCATTAGAACTCCAATATTTCTATCCCTACTTTTTGATGCAATATTCAGTTTATCTTTATATTTTGCTTTATTAATTATGAGTAGTTTACTTGTTTAGTTTAGGGTTTTCGAGGGTTTTGATAAACTAATAAAATATAGAACTGTTAGGGTTATTATATTGGATCCTTCAAATGATTTTTCTTATTTCTTGTTTCTAGAATAGCTAACTAGAAACTTGATCATGGGATTGATTGGGACACGGGAGAGCATGGTCAATTAGATGAATCTAATCTGGCTGATCTAGGTTGATAAATACATGATAGTTAATTGGTTTAGGTAACTTAGTGAACAAATCGAATTGGATCTTAATGCTTGTCTTGAACAATTAAATTTGCATAGGAGAGTTGGAATTCTAGGATCTAGACATCTGATTAGACTCGCAGCGAGAACTGGATATCTTACTAATTGAATTCAAGTTCTTGGATGGTTCTTATTTAACGATTAGCATATATAGATTTTATTTCTGTTTGAATACCTAAGTTTGACACTTTTCTCATATATCTCACAGCCGATTTATTGATATTATTTGTTGTTTTTAATTTCTTAGCTTACTCTTAATATATATAGTTTATTATGTGATTCACACTGTTTGTGGATTTGATCCATAAATGCTGCAATCAAACTCTTATTTGAGACTTTTTCTAGGGTAATTTGAGAAATATCACCACTTCTTAGGAAAATATATATTGCACAGTAGGAAAGATTGGTGGCAATATATATATGAAAGTTTAGACTTAGGAGTAAAAAAAATCTTTTAACATTGTATTCTCAGTGAAACACAAAAGAATCTTTGGGGTTTAAGAGGTAGTGATATGTAGATGTGATCAACTGGTGTTGAGTCACCCAAAATGGTAAATTAAAAATTGGTTCATCTCAGGTTGTGTGTGATGTTGAGTAACTCGGATTAAACAGATCTGTGTAAGGTTCTTTAAGTGTTTCTTAATAAGAAGAAATATGTGGTCTCTAGTGCCTTTTGTTCTTTCTGGTTTCGCATGGTATAGAATTTTCATTTGGTATCAGAGCTGGTTTCCTCGTTGGATTTTGCCTATCCACACACATGTTGAGGTCCTGAAGAACTCTTTGAAACCATGAGAGAACTTGTAGCCCTACCGAGCCCCTACATGTTGGATGAAGGGAGTTTTGGCCATTGAAAGGCTCGTATGAAACATATAATCCGTGGAATCGATGAAGATGCTTGTACAGTGGTCAAAATTGGATGGACTTCACCAACCATACACATGGAAGATGAGACATATACACCAAAACCTAAGGAGAGATGGACAAAATCAGAAAAAGCTGCATTAAAGTTCAACTTCAAGACACTTACTATGATCTTCTCAGTGGTTTATATTTATCAATTCAAGATTATCCAAGGATGTGTATAAGAACAAGAGGTGTGGACTTATCAATTACTTCGAAAGAGATACAAGTGTAAGAAGAACCAGAATCGATCATCTTGCTTCTAAGTTTGAGAATCTTTAAATGGTAAACGATGAATTTATAGCTAGCTTTATCTCTAAGGTAAGCTCAATCGCTAATGAATCTTCTGTTCTTGGTAATAGTTATAAGGAAAGAAGCTCTTTAAGAAGTTACCACGGTGCTTGCATGTGAGGTTTGAAGCATACAAAGTGGTTCACATGATTGCCATGAACAATGACATGAAATATGATTAAATGGCTGGTACATGTAAAGTACGTGATCTGGAAGATACTGATGAGTTATCAAAAGATCATAATGTGATATCATTCTCAGCTGAGTCTGAAAGAAGAAATTAGTGTCAAAAGGATAGAACATAGTATGAGTCTTATGACCAGGAACTTCAACAAAATGCTCAAGAACATTGAAAAAGGTCATTCAAGCGATCAGTACCAGAAGATTCTGATAGTTTCAATAATTAATCATATTGATCTGACACATCTAAAGGAAGTAGAAAGAAGGATCGTCAATGTTACGAATGAGAGAGTTTTGGAAAACTTCAGAATGAATGTCAACTAGCAAAGAGAAAGAAGCTCAAGTGTATTGAATGAAAAGGATGCGGACACACAAGTGCCCAAATAATTTGAGGAAAGACAAGTCTCTGTTTTGCTGTAGTAACACTGAACCAAAAAGTGAGAGTGATGGAGAAGAACTCTTACTCAACTTTGGCAAAGCCCGACCATCCACGACTAATGGGCCACCCATGCTCTCTTGGCCCGTGGGCCCCATCCCATTTATACGGACAGCCCGTTAATTTTCCAAGGCTCTAGAGTCATGTTTACTGAACCTACAATAACCACATGACCTTTCTCCATGCTTTGGCCTCACTTACACGGTATCGCAAATCACTTCCCCATAGGTCACTCATCCTTTGACTACTCCAGCTCAA